TGGAAAAGTGGCTGACTGCGCAGCAACTGGAGATCGGCAAAGTGGTTTGTGACAACGGAACAAATTTGTTGGCGGCATTGAAGTTGGGCAAGTTGACACGTGCCGTGCATGGCACATGTGTGTAATCTGATCGTACAATGGTTTGTGCATAAGTACACAGGCTTACAGGACGTCCTGAAGCAGGCCAGGAAGGGGTGTGGCCATTTCAGGCGTTCCTACACGGCCATGGCGCACTTTGCCGATATCCAGCGGCGAAACAACATGCCAGTGAGGCGCCTCTGGGGAGCTGGGAATTTTTTTGCCACGTTACTGGACGCTCATGCGCAATGCCTGTAGGCTCATGCATCCTTTTGAGGAGGTGACAAACCTAGTCAGTCGCACCGAAGGCACCATCAGCGACATCATACCATTTGTTTTCTTCCTGGAGCATGCCCTGCGAAGAGTGCTGGATCAGGCCGTAGATGAGCGTGAAGAGGAAGAGTTGTGGTCACCATCACCACCAGAACCAGCCTTATCAGCATCGCTTGCTGGACCTGCGGCAATGCTGGAAGAGGATTGTGAGGAAGAGGAGTCAGAGGAGGAATGTGGCTTTGAGGAGGAGGAGGAAGACCAACCACAACAGGCATCCAAGGGTGCTCGTGGTCACCTATCTGGTACCTGTGGTGGTGTACGTGGCTGGGGGGAAGAACATACCTTCATTGAGATAACTGAGGAGGAGGAACGGGAAATGAGTAGCTCGGCATCCAACCTTGTGCAAATGGGGTCTTTCATGCTGTCGTGCCTGTTGAGGGACCCTCATATAAAAAGGCTGAAGGAGAACGACCTGTACTGGGTGTCCACGCTACTAGACTCCCGGGATAAGCAGAAAGTGGCTGAAATGTTACCAAATTACAACAAGTCGGAAAGGATGCAGCATTTGCAAAATAAATTAAAAAGTATGCTTTACACGGCGTATAAGGGTGATGTCACAGCACAACGGGAATCTAACAGGGGAAGAGGTGAAAGTAATCCTCCTCCTCCCAAGACCACGCCTGCAAGGACAGGACGCTTTACAGATGTGTTGTTGATGGAGGACATGCGGAGCTTTTTAAGTCCTACGAATCGCCACAGCCCTTCGGGATCCACCCTCAGAGAACGACTCGACCGACAGGTAGCAGACTACCTCGCCTTAACAGCAGATATCGACACTCTGTGGAGCAATGAACCCCTTCACTACTGGGTGTGCAGGCTTGACCTGTGGCCTGAGCTATCCCAATTTGCAATAGAACTTCTGGCCTGCCCCGCTTCAAGTGTCCTGTCAGAAAGGACCTTCAGTGCAGCAGGAGGTATTGTCACTGAGAAGAGAGTCGCCTAGGTCAAAAAAGTCTAGATTACCTCACCTTTATTAAGATGAATGAGGGATGGATCCCGACGGGACTGACAGTGGGCGATACATCCGACTAAAAAAGGCCTGATGAGATGAGCTGCCTTGGGCTAAAAATGGTCCACACGCTGCTGTATTTTAGCTCTGAATGCCGGTTGACTTGCGTGACTCATCCGCCACCAACTAGGGTTCAAGCCGCAATGTTTTAGGGCAGTGCTCCCCAACCTTTTTATCGCCGCAGACCGGTAAACGTTTGATCCACGTACCGGTCCGTGGCCCGGGGGTTGGGGAACACTGTTTTAGGGCACTTTCTGCCTGGGAAACAAACATCAATTCTTCTGGCCGCTGCTACAGCAGCGGCTGCAACAATACCTAATGTTTCAGGCATGTGTACATGCCTAATTTTTCGGGCCTCTGGTGCTGCGCTGTGGTTTCAAAAACCAAACCAAAAAAAAGGCACATAACAGGGATTAAACTGATAAGAATAATACTACTTAACACACCTTATAATAACGCAGAGAGAGGCAATGCAGAGAGAGCAGTCTGAAGAAGAGGAGTCAGAGGAGGAAGGTGGCTTTGAGGAGGTGGAAGACCAAACACAGCAAGTGTCCCAGGGGGCTTGTTGTCACCTTTTGGGGACCCTTGGTGTTGTACGTGGCTGGGTGGAGGAAGAGACCTTCAATGACATCAGTGAGGACAAGGAACGGGACATGGCTAGCTTGGTATCCAACCTTGTGCAAATGGGGAGTTTGCGGTTGTGCAAATGGACTGTTTGCGGTTGTTTGCGGTGCGTTAAACGGGGAGTTTGGTCTGTCACTGTGAAGCGGGCGTAACCCTTACACTACCTGATCGATACAACATCATACAGTAGGTCCCCCCCTCATTATTTTTATGGCCCCCACCCACCGCTCACGGGTGGGGGCAGGGGGGAGGACAGTAGGTCCCCCTTATCCTTATTTACTGAATATTCCCCTGTATAACAATGTTTGGCATTTAGTGAATATTCTCTATTCTGCTCTGTGTCAGTGTGTATGGATCCTTAGGACAGGTGTCAATCCTTATCTGCCAAGTGACCCTATGTAGGGGGAACAGTCTCTATTCTGCTCTGTGTCAGTGTGTATCATGGTCTCTGAGGACAGGTGTCAATCCATATCTGCCAAGTGACCCTATGTAGGAGGAACAGTCTCCTATTCTGCTCTGTGTCAGTGTGTATCATGGATCTCTGAGGACAGGTGTCAATCCATATCTGCCAAGTGACCCTATGTAGGGGAAACAGTCTCTATTCTGCTCTGTGTCAGTGTGTATCATGGTCTCTGAAGACAGGTGTCATTCCATATCTGCCAAGTGACCCTATGTAGGAGAACAGTCTCTATTCTGCTCTGTGTCAGTGTGTATCATGGTCTTTGAGGACAGGTGTCAATCCATATCTGCCAAGTGACCCTATGTAGGGGGAACAGTCCCTATTCTGCTCTGTGTCAGTGTATATCAGGGTCTCTGAGGACAGGTGTCAATCCATATGTCAAGGTGTCAATATGTCATATGTCAGGTGTCAATCCATATCCATTGTGATTTAGGAATGTTAGGTGATTTATGCCCTTTATGGATTAAGACCAGACTCTGCATCAACTGTGTAATTTTCCATGGGAGTTTTGCCATGGATCCCCCTCCGGCATGCCACAGTCCAGGTGTTAGTCCCCTTGAAACAACTTTTCCATCACTATTGTGGCCAGAAAGAGTCCCTGTGTGTTTTAAAATTCGCCTGCCCATTGAAGTCTATGGCGGTTCGCCCGGTTCGCGAACATTTGCGGAAGTTCGCGTTCGCCATTCGCGAACCGAAAATTTCGGGTTTGCGACATCACTACTAGGCAAGTCTGTAATTTAATTTTTCTTATTCCATGATAGTAAGCCAGAGCCAGGTCCCTCCTTGCACCATAACAACTTTATTATGATGAAGAGTGTCCCTTTAAGAACCACTGGTATAAACAATGTGAGTGAGACTGTGTTGTCTGCTCCATTTTAATGTATCAGACTTTGTGCAGACAATATTTCCTGCAAGGTTATCTGATAAGGGCTAACATTTTTCTTTTAGCAGAGAGTAAGATCTCAGCATCAGCAGTTTGTAAACAAAGCATTTAAAGTTATAATGGTTTGATTGTTGACATTTATTTTGCACATAGCTTTTCTACAATCATGTTTACTGCAAGCTTATTGGGTAACAGTTTTTTTTTCTTCTTAATTACTGGATATTGAGTCCTAAACACATATAATTTGTGACCAAAGCATTCAAGTTATAATTGTCTAATTGTGTAGTCAACATTTCTTTTACTGTGAATTTTTTTTCTCAGTAGAATTATACGGGATATATACATAAGCAATATTTATATAAAAAAGTAAGCTTTTAAAAACTATAATTATATAGTAGTTATAACAGTTTCATATGAACAATGCTAAATCAATTTCCATGGGGTTGTCCCTTTTATTAGGAGACTTGCAGCTGTTGCCCCCTATATAAACATAAGTAAACATGCCACTCTGTTGCATACACACATCTGAATGTCACATGGAACAGCCTACAGCATTCTAAGCCAGAAGAACGTATTAACTGTGTATTACTTCAGAGTCACCTGGAGCCAGTGCTAAAAGGCTTAGCAATATCAAAACGAGTGCCAATTTGAGAAGCATATTGGCTAGGGATACATGTATCTTGTCTATATCAACTATGGCAGTCACATTGAATACAGGTTCACATACTTCTACAAAGAAATCACAGATCGTTAATTGAAACAATTTGTATGTGTTCCAAGTAAGAGTAAGTTCTTCCTTTGCATCATTCACTTAGTTCTTGTACATGGCAAGATTATCCCACATTCAACTCACAAACAGGCCATGAGCGTCCCTATTTTACTGTGTGCAATAAACGGTCATTTACCATCATGTAATACATTGATGAGTACAGTATGTGTTAAGAAAGTAACAAAACTTTTATGAAACTTCCCATGTAATCCCAATAAAGCTGACTGAACTGACAGAAGAAACGGAGGCAATGTTCTGATGTCGTGTTAATCAGAGGAGCCTACTTTCCTCCAATCAGCTCGAAGAGTTCCGGAGAATAGATTGTATTAAGGTACATTGACTCATCCAGACAGAGGCAGAAATGCCAAGGACAAATCGCTAAACACACTCATCAAGGAACAATGTCTTTATATTAAACGTAAGCCCCCTCTGCCTTGACTTCAAGGTGTATATGTTAACAGAGGCAGAGGCAGAGGCAGAATTCTGGCCCTGAATATTTTAACCTCTGCTAAAACAAAGCAGATGCCTGTGATCAGGGAATATAATTGGCAAGCACAGGTATCATCAAACTTACATAATACATTTTGCAAATTTGTCAGCAGTTGAAAATATTACAATAAGCAGTGATGTCTTGGAGCACTCTGGGTGCTGAAAAGCCTGTAACATCGAATGATAAATGTAAAGCAGTAAAAGGAAAACTGCTATTTTAACTTCCCCCTTTTACCACATTAAAGTAAAACAATCACATACAAGTATGAATGGCCTTAATAAAATGTATTGCATATCTTCTGTTTTCAACAGCCTCAGAGTGCGATTTTTGAGACCCTTGGGGCTTTAGCATGATGTCAGAATTTGTGAATATGCATTAGGTATCAGTTACCTGCTTGGTCTTTGGCCAGAAACAGTTTATCTGACCAAAGACAGCTTAAAGATGATCACCAGATGAGGCAACATTAGTCCAGAAAATACATTAGACCCATTATTTTTGTTCTCCACAAGTTTAAAGGGATAATCCAGACATGGACCCCTTGCTCACGGTGCCAAGGGAGATTTCAGCTATGCCTCACTGATGATGATTAACAAGGCTGAAACGATCGTCTGGGGTTGCTGTATCTCTCGTGCAGAGAGAACTCGCTGGCATTTCAGATCTGGGCTGCCCGTATGGGTGGGACCAGTCTGATGTGCTTCAGATATGTTCTCTCTGTAATGGCACAAGATGAGCAAAAACCAGCTTGACATCTGAGCGGGGACCCACCAAAGGGCAGGCTACTTCAGCTGCTGCTCGTTCTCAGTATACTCTTGCGACCCATTTTTTTGTTATGATATAATTTACTATAACATTTTTTTTTTAATAACTTCTTTTTTTTTTTTACTTTTTCTAACTTTGACCCCCAAAATCTGTTATGTATCTACAACCGCCAAAAAACACTTGTGCTAAATAGTTCCTAAATTTTGTCATGAGTTTAGAAATACCTAATGTCAATATGTTCTTAGCTTTTGTTTGCAAGTTATAGGGCTATAAGTGCAAGCAGGACATTGCTGTTTCAAAATATATATTTTTAAAATTTATCAATAGTGACATTGTAACACTTATCTGTCATAAATCTCTGAATCACACGTCACATGTACATGTTTTTTTTAAAGTAGACAACCCAGGGTATTCAATATGGAGTATGCGTCATGCCAAGGGTGGATGATTCATTGTTGCACAATAGAATATTGCCATTTATTGTAATTTGTGTAGTGCATATACGAATTGGTCACTTAGTTTCAAGGTCAGATTACAGAAAGGATAATGTAAATATATAGGACAGCGAGAAAGAAATGCAGGGTCTGAGATAGATAAATCCTAATATCTCTCGACCTAAACCTTACAAGTGCTGAAGCAACCCATAGAGAATAGATTAATGATCATTAGCTTTCACGAAAAAAAAACCAAGCCTTGTGTTCCAGTATCATATACAAAAGAAAGAAACAAATATTTACCCACAGAATAATAATTAAGCCTCATTTTTGTAATATTTGGAATGTGACCAGCACAAGCTTCTAATCAAGCCCAAACACGATTTCCGTAACTTAAAAGGACCACTATAGTGCAAGGAAAACAAACTCATTTTCCTGGCACTATAGGGTCTTTAGGTCCTTCCAACCTTCAGGGTCCCCATACCGCTGGGCTCTAGGGGGAGGAAGGGGTTAAACACTTACCTTTCTCCAGCGCCGGGCTCCCTCGGCGCTGGGGACTCTCCTCCCTCTTCCGATGTAATTTCTCAATGCTTTCCTATGGACGCTGGCGTCTTCTCACTGTGAAAATCACAGTGAGAAGCGCCTCTAGCGGGTGTCAATGAGACAGCCACTAGAGGATGGATTAACCCTAATGTAAACATAGCAGTTTCTGTGAAACTGCTATGTTTACACCAGTCAGGGTTAACCCTAGAGGGACCTGGCACCCAGACCACTTCATTAAGCTGAAGTGGTCTGGGTGCCTATGGTGGACCTTTAACCGTAGGGGAAGGGATTGTGATGCCCACTATATTGGGTCACAAGTAAGGAGTGTGACATATCTATGGATTGGAAAAATGGTAACAAATTCATTGCAGCAATTATTAAGTCTGTGGAAAGTACATAAGAGGACTGGTCTGGAACACAAGGGGGTGGTCACTTATAGTTACTATAGGTACCCCTTATCTTCACCTCTGGACGAGGCTTGGTAATCCACAGGTTATATATCCAATGATACAGAGATGTGTATTTGTACTTGCATTGGGGCCAGAATCTAATTTTAAGTGAGTCACCCCCTTTCTTACCAGAAGTTTTACTTTTAAAACGAGTAAGTGATTAGGACTTCTGTTATTTTATACCTTTTGTTTTTATCTATTGTTGGTGTAACTAATTTGATAGTCATCTATATTTTGTATGCACTGTGACTATTTTTTTGCTCATAATAAATATTCCTTTATTAAGTTATGCCTTTGTCTGATAAAGAATCACATTACCTGAAGAGACTAATTAATAAGTGTTTTGCAATTGCATAGCTATTGTGCCAAGTTGTATTTGGTGGGTTTTTATGGTTTACTTGGGGGACCAAGGTACCTCACTCCTGGTCTCAGAGGTCCTGCACTGGAAGCATTTGCAGTGCTTCCAGCAGAGTCTGACCAGAACTATGATACAATTAAGGCTGCCTTGCAGAGACGGTACAACCTTACTCCTGAGGTGTACCGGAAAAAAATCAGGACTTTGCAGAAGCATCCCACAGAAAGTTATGCAGCAGTTGTGAAACACCTGGCAACAGCATTCCGGCAGTGGACTAGAGATCAAAACCCTAGAAAGCCTGGAAGATCTGGTCATTAAAGAACAGTTTTTGCAGCTCTGCCCAGCCGATGTACAGGAATGGCTGCTGGACCGGAACCCCAAAACAGCATTGGAGGCGGGTGAGCTGGCAGATTTCCACACTGGCAATTGAGCAACAGTGGACCAAAAAGGTTTTGCCAAGGGAACATCCAGCTGGAAGATCGCACCACCACGACTCCCCATCATCAGGCCTAGCGGGCCATCTTTTGGTTTAGAGAGCAAGTGCCATTTCTACTCAAGGAGATAGTCGCAGATGTTTTACTTGCCCTGGGTAACAGAAGCCAGTGTCATCAGCTGGGGAGGGATGCTCCTCAGAACCAATGTCCTCTGTGTTGTTTGTAACCAGATCAGAAGGAGCAAAAATGTGATTCTGCAACCTGTGATAGTTGAAAAGGAGGTAACTGTGGGACTCAGGGACACTGGGGCAGATGTGACTCTTGTGTGTCCAGGGCTAGCGCGCTCTGAGACTTCATTCCTGGCAGGACTCTAGCAGTTAAAGAAATTGGGGGGATATGTCTCCAGAGTAGGGATAGTCGTATCAGAAAACACAGCAGGGAGAACAGCAGGATGACGACCCGTACTGACAAAAAACGGACTATGCCCGGATGAGTCATGGGTAGTGTTATTCCTTGTAAATTTTGCCCAGAGCAATAATTCAGCCCAGTTAGACTGTGTACTATTCACGAAGCAACATAAATACAGCTCAAGTGGTTGGTTATCTCTTTCAGCCATACCATTAGTTTGGAGATGGTAAGCAGAGGAAAATGACAATTCAATGCCCAACTGTTTATTGAATGCCCTCCAGAACTGTGACACAAATTGGGAACCCCTGTCAGACACAATATTTTGAGGAATACCATGTAGCCTGACAATATTGCGTATAAATATGTGCACCAGGTCCTTAGATGATGGCAATTTTTTAAGTGGAGTAAAGTGTGCCATTTTGGAAAAATGGTCCACTACCATGAGGATGGTAGTATACCCATTGGAACTAGGCAATTCAACAATGAAATCCATCGATAAATGAGACCATGGGATGCTGGGTATAGGAAGTGGCTGTTACAATCCATACGGAAGTTTATGAGGAACCTTTGAAACTGCACAGACAGAGCAGGCTTCTACATAGTCTTTAATATCACTCCTCAGTCACTCCCACCAAAATGACCTGGAAATGGTGGATACATTTTTATTAATACCTGGATGCCCAGCGGTCACATTGTCATGGAATACTTTCAGCACCTCTTTCCTGTCAGGCAATGGAATAAACAATTTATTTGAGGTCTATTGCGAGGTGCCTGTGGCATGGAGCAAAGAGAACGATAAAGAAAGGACAGTGGATGAAATAATACACTCAGGAGAAATAATAAGGGATGTCTCTTGTTCTAGATCCGATTCAACGACAAATTGCCTAGATAAGGCACCAGCTTTAACGTTCTTAGAACCGGGTATGTAGGTGATAATGAAGTTAAAGCAAGACAAAAATAATGACCATCTAGCTTGTCTAGAAGACAGTTGTTTGGCATTCCCAATATATGCCAGGTTCTTGTGATCAATAATCAGAATGGGATCATTGGAACCGTCCAAAAGATTTCACCATTCCTCAAGCGCTAGTATGATGGCTAACAGTTCTCTATTACCAATGTCATAGTTACGCTTGGCAGGAGACAACTTTCTGGTGAAGTAACCACAAGGATGCAAAGGGGCATTCTCACTCTCTCTTTGAGAAAGAACAGCCTCGACCCCTGTCTCGGAGGTGTCAACCTCAAGTAGGAAAGATTTACTAGTGTCAGGATGTCTTAATATATCAGCAGATGGGAACATTTGTTTAAGAAGCTCAAAAGCCTCTTTAGGCCATATATTACAATTAGCCCCCTTGCATTTCATATTGGTGATGGGGGCTATTACTGAAGAGAAACCTTTGATGAATCTCCTGTAATAGTTAGAGAAACCAATAAACCTCTGTATGGTTTTTAACCCACTGGGTAATGGCCATTGTAGAACGGCCTCTAGTTTGCGAGGATCCATTTGAAAACCAGAGGCAGAAATGTTATACCCCAAAAACAGAACCTCATGTTTATTAAATACGCATTTCTCAAGTTTACAATAAAGACCATTTTAAAGCAAAGTTTGTAAAACTTGTTTGACATGATCATGATGAGTTTGGATGTCGAGGAATAAATAAGGAAATCATCCAGGTAATCAAGCACAAAAGAGTAAATATAGTCTCTGAGTACATCATTAAGGAAGTCTAGAAATATGGCCGGAGCATTACATAACCCGAAGGGCATAGCCAGATATTCGTAGTGCCCACTCCTAGTGCCAACGCAGTATTCCATTCATGATCCACCCTAATTCTCACCAAATTGTACGTACTCCTAAGGTCAAGCTTAGTGAAGATCTTAGCACCCTGGAGTCTATCAAACAATTCGCATAAAAGGGGAATGGGATAGGCATTTTTTATAGTAATCTTGTTTAATGCCCTGTAGTCTATGAAAGGTCGTAATTCTCCATCTTTCTTAGCTACAAAAAAGAACCCTGCACCTGCAGGAGAGGATGATTTACGTATATGGCCTTTAAGGATTCCTTGATGTACTTTCTTGTGGGGATAGGGCATATACCGCTCCTTTAGGAGGCATAGCCCCAGGCAACAGATCAATGGAACAATCATAAGATCTGTGTAGAGGAAGAGCATTAGTCTGGCTTTTACTAAATGCCTCTCTAACCTCCCAATACTGTATGGGAATTCCGGGAGTCGGAGACGTAGCAGCGGGTACAGCAACAATGCCCACTTTTTTTAGAAATGGGTAACATGCAACTTTACTGACAGTCTTTACCCCCATTCCAGTATTTCCCCTCTAGTCCAGTCAATACAAGGGTTATGCTTGATGAGCCAAGGTAACCCTAATACAATTGGACAAGAAGGGGAAGCGATTATCTGGAAAATAATGTCTTCCTTATGCAAAGCTCCTATCGTAATGCAAATAGGCAAGGTCTCATGGGTAATAAGAGGTTGAGATAGGGGTCTCCCATCAATAGCCTCAACCGTAAGAGGTGATGATGTCTCCTTGACTGGTATAGTGTGATTTTTAACAAAATACAAATCAATAAAGTTACCTGCCGCACCTGAGTCAACCAGGGCTATGCATGAAAAGTTCTCCCTGTTGCAAAAGGTGGAAATGTCAAGGAGAAATCTACTTTGGGAATTACTCGAGGACGTATCCATTACACCTAAGACCTGTCCCCTTAAGGTTCTTAGGTGTAGAAGTTTTCCGGACGTATAGGACAAGCATCTCTCATTTGCCCTTTCTTGCCACAATATAAGCTCTCTTCTCCTATACTGTTTCTCTGCCTCAGACAGTCCTGTAACTGCATAGGTTCGGGTTCAGACAGCGTTGAGAGGTCAGGGACAACAGGTTTGGAGAATCGAGGTGCTAGTGACATAGTCAAACGTGTAGTGCTGTTTCTAGTAATTTCCCTGGTCATGATTCTATTATTGATTTGCATCACATAGGTAGTTCTTTGGCAGCAATTTCATTAAGTATAAATTCAGATAACCCTTTTTTAAAAGCAGCGATTAATCCATTGTTAGTCCAGTCTACCTCAGATGCCAAGATACGAAATCTATGGCATAATCCGAGATAGACCGGTTTCCTTGTTTGATATGCATTAGGGCAGTGGAGACGTCTTCTTCTCTGCCTAATGGTTCAAACGTAAGTTTGAATTCCACCAGGAATTCCTTGTAATAATGGGCGATACTCCTATGACTTTCCCACAATGGATTAGTTTAAGGCCTTACCTTTGAGTTGGTTCATCAGATACCCAATCTTGGCTCTATCTGAAGGAAATGAACCAGGTCAGGCCTCAAAGTGGTACTCAATCTGATTGAGAAATTCCCTACAGACCTGGATACTACCTGAAAAATGCGGGGGAGGAGATAAGGAGATCGTAGGTGTCTTATATAATATAGGTGGAGGTGCATTAGGCAGTGTTGACATAATTTAAGAAGCCTCAGGTTGTAAATGAGCCGTCCTAGTAAGGAGCATGCTAAAGCCTGGGCAAATTGATCCATATGGGGATCATTCTCCTCTAGCTTTCTCTCACAAGCTGCTATGTGCTGACACAATTCTGCAGGATCTATGGCCATGTCGTTATGTCAGGATTACAAGTTGATCCAGCACGCAGTACTGTGTCACACCTAGGACTAAGGATAACGTATAACCGGACCTTAGAACGGCCGGAATTAACGTCTCCAAGAATAGTCAAAATACTTGCCGAGGTCAGGGACACAGAATCAGACAATAAGATGAGGGAAAGCCAAAAGTCAAGGATACCAGATATCAGGGGAGTCAAAACAAAGCCAAAGTCAAATACCAGAAAATCCAGATCAGGAATGCACTCTTGGATAAACATAGACATGAAGAGTTGGGTTTAAATAACCCTCCCCCCCAGTGGATCCGATTGGCTGTAACCGGCCTTTGACCCCAAAGGCAATTACCAGGTTTCCATGTGCATGATTGCTGCGCAGCACAAACCCTCCTGTGGATTTGATTGGCCATGACCGGCCTTTGACCCAAAAGTAATTACCAGATTTTCATGTGCATGATTGCTGCTCGGCACACCTTTTCCTGTCAGGGCGGTAATGTTGCTCAGCACAACTTTTCCTGTCAGGACAGTAAATGCCATTAACCACATTTTTTTTTTTAAAACCCACAGATACTAATAGTTTCATCAACATTAATAGTAGCCATCATCCTAAGTAGCGACATAGAGTCCCTAAGGTGGACATACCTGTCCATTTCATTAGGTTATGCAGGAAGTGCCCAGAGAAGGACCAATATTTTACACAAGTCAACATTTTAAAAACAAGGAGAAAGGTTACCCAACTCAATTTTTAAGAGACAAAGATTGAGAAAGTTGGAAATATAGAAGGAGGGGAGTTACTCATAGAACAGAAAAAAAAAGGAGGGTATAATGAAAAAAAAGGCTTTGCATTTTCTCATAACGCACAATTTAGTTCTAAAGCCTTTGAAATTAACCGTATTATTAAAAAACATTGGCCCCTATTATTTTAAGATGATCACACAAACAACTCGTGCACCCTGTATTAGTTTCAGAAAATGGATGAATCTTAAAAACGTCCTAGCCTAGCCTTCTACTTTCCCACAATCCCTGTTATTTAAGAGTACGCAAACCCAAGAGGATTCAAATCCTGTTCCTCCTCACACGTTGAGTCTACTTTTCTTTGGTTGTGGTGCACAGTATGTGAGGAGTATGGGAAGAAAAGCCAAAATAAGATACACGAAGCAACTTAATAATATTAGAAATAATTCTGCCTTACACTCTGTGCCTGGCTATTGAAACAAGTGTTCCAAATTCAACGCTCCTTTTATCATTGAAAAAGTTCAAATGGGTGAAAGAGGGGGAGACTTGATGAGTAGGAGGAAGGCATTTTGGATACATTAACTTCACACCATAACTGAATGTTAAATTTGATTAGATTTGTTTTGTGGTTTAATATTTTTAGGATTTAATGTTGTCTATAATATCCAAACTTATTATGCTCAGATATGGGTGATTTTTTAAAATGTATTTTGTAATATTTTTAATTTATTCCAAATAATTTTTTAAATTTTTTTTTAAAACTTTCCTCATGTGTGCAAGTAGTGGGGAATTGTGTAGTGCCCCTTTTCTTATACCCTCTTTACATTCCAATAATACGACATGAGACCTAGTTGGTGAAAATAGGCCACAGCTTTTTATTAAAGTATTTCACCAAACAATATTACTAATATTAAATTTGTATTAAATATATATATAATACTTTTATAATTTTGAACATTAAACAATATAACTAAACAACATTTTCAGAAACATACCTGTCCTTGCCAATCAATTATCCATAACCTCAGAACTCTCCTGAGCACTTCCCAACCAACACTGGCCACAAAACCTGGCCTTCCACCACTTCCCAACCAACACTGGCCACAAAACCTGGCCTTCCACCATGCTAACCACTGGCCGACCTTTGGTTCAGTAGGCATGTCAGTTATAAACCATATATTAATTTCACCGAGGCTAGGGGAGGGATTGTCCCCACTTTTCTTCACACCGTTTGGACAGAGAACGGGGAACAACACATAAATACTGGCCAAGTCCTGTAATATCAAATCAGAAAATTCCCTCACGGGGAGTGTGCCCAGATCATTGCCCCCAAACTGCATTATCAGCACGTCAGGAACTCCAAGGAGACGGGACAGACGAACCAGCTCCAGAACCAGCTGCGCTCACCGCATACCCTGGACCCCAAACCATCGCACCTCCGTTGCTGCCGGGAACAGATCCAGTTGGCATCCCTCAGGGCAGACACTGGCCCAGTAAATGTACGAGTGCCTGATCACCCACACACGCTGAGCAGGCCCTACGGAGACACAATGGGGGGAAACACAATCAGACCACAGGGCTGAACATAACTCCTGAACCACCCAGCGGCCTATTCTGCGAATAGCTTGCTCAGAAAACCCAAGGCGCGACGCCTCCGTAGCAGCCCCGATGCGGAATTAATACCCTCCAAACTCTGAACACTGGATACCCAGAGCTTAACACCCGGATAAACTGAAACCAGGATAGAAAACCAGCATCCTGGTGCACGGTAAAACCCCACGTGAGGAGCGAAGGACCTGAAACTGATGTAAACAGGTCACCGAGCAGAGAAGAAGCAGACAGGCTGTAAATGGCTAGCACCACCCCCAGATTATTGCAATGGAAAGCAACCCTGTGGTCCCGCAGCAATAACCCCCACAGCTACAAGGCCATCACTATGGGCAACAATTCGAGAAACCCCAAAATCTTCGTTAGGCCTGACACATGCCAGGAATCTGGCCACATATCTGCACACCAGTGGGTGCCCAAAATAGCCCCAAAACCCACTGATCCTGCTGCGTCAGTGAACAAGGGCTGCTCGGCATTAGATACTTCTGGTACCTGCCAAAAGGACTGGCTGTTAAAAGCCACAAAAAAAGACAGTAAGCCACCAGACAGTCAAATCTTCTATCAAGGGGCACGTCAAGCGCACAAAATGGTGAGGCCTTGAAACGCTGGATGTAGCGGCAGCCAGGCGCCGATTAAACACCCTACCCATTGGCAGAATGTGACAGGCAAATCTAAACTTACCCATCACCTGCAGCTGAATCTTCCACATACCCAATGTTGCCGCCACCCATATGCGCGAATCCTCCACCGACAGACAATATTCCCGCGCCACTGAGTCAATCTGGATGCCAAGAAAGGTCAAGCATGTTGTCGGACCCGCTGTTTTGTCCGCCGGGGCCAACGGCACCCGAAAGACTGTGCCACCGACTTCACCAATAACAGAAGCCACACACACCTTTCCAAATTCCCCAGACCTACGCATAAGAAGTCATCCAAATAATGCAGAATGGAGTCGCAGCACGCCTCAGTACGCACTACCAATTCGAAGAAGGAGCTAAAACACTCAAAATAGAAGCAAGAGATCAAGCATCCCATGGGAAGACACAGACCCACAAAGTATTGACCATCAAAACACCCCAAATGCTGATGGCACTGAAGGCAGCTTCAAAGTTCGTCATGGCCATAAGGACCCCAGGACCCACATCCCGCACCGCCTCGTCAAAAGACAAGTAGGACACCCTACAAAGCTTCTCCGAGATGCTGTCATTCACAGAGCCCCCGAAGGAGTACAAAAGGTGGTGAATCAGTCGAAATTTACTTCTTGCAAAAACTGAGGCATCTGAAAGGGGTCCGCCGTACGTCCCAACGCAACTTCCTTCTCAAGCTTGTCCTTGACCACATCAGGATGTTCCCTGACAGAGTGAAGGTTCTGACACTCCGCCGAGGCCCACGGCCCCAGTGGAGAATCCAAAACCCATCCCGTCAATAACAGCGCCGCAGCATCACGATTCCCATACCTATTTAACCACAGGAGCACCGCAATGACGCCCACCGGCATCTACGCCCTTTGAGCACAAGGCATCAGGCTTCTCCCCCACTTGAAGCACCGCAAAGCGGGGTGGGATCCCCCGCAGACTGAGCATTCATGCTTGAACTTACAACTTGCTCCCCACTTGCACTGGCTCTTGTTGAACTGCCAGCAACAACCAAGGCGACAGGAACCGCAATCAATTCACAATAAACTTCTGGTGCACATATGATATAGCCCTATGTTTATATTTATTCTATATTTGTGCATTGCTTAGTTTCTAATATAATTAAATATATGCATGCTTTAATTGGGGGTATTTCTATGTACAGTAATTGCTATTTATTTATGTAGTGGAGTATCACTTTAAACAATAGAATTTATTCTCTAAACTATGAACGGTTGCTTATTGAAATATAAACAGGACATTTAGGCAAAAATAGCCAAGTTATGATTATAGCCAAGTTTGAGAATTTTTCCATATCAGCTAGCTTATTCAAAACTTTCAATGTGCTATACTTCAGATTTTACTGAATAAATACCATCGTGGACAATAAAACAAACAAAGGATTTCTAGTGCTAATGAGATTATTAGACAGCTAAAACAACTCAAATCAGAGTCTCTATATTCTGGTAAAAAGTACAGTTTGTTATGGAAATGACAGTCTTGAGTCCAGGAGATGGTCAGTGGATATGTGGTGAGAAAAGAACCAAGAGAAAACAACACTATATTGTTTTCTCTTCGTTGTTTTCTCTCCACATATCCACTGACCATCTCCTGGATTTGAGACTATCTACAAGGCGCTTCTCCCTCATTTCCATACCGAGAAATACCATCATGGCTTTATTGTTATTGAGCCCTGTTTTACATACAGTCTCTGAACATGCTTCTAGAATTGTATGCACTAAAACGCTGTTCGCATTCAGCCAGCTACTGACTGAGCATGACTGATGTATTCCACAGAAAATGAAAGAGGTTGCTTCATTCCACAAATAAATCTGCTGAGGATTTGAATTCCCACCAAACTCAGTCAAACACTGGTTATGTCCCCAAAGGGGACAGGAAAGTTCCAGCACTGTTTTTCACTGAATACAAAACCATTGTACTGTGTGGCTTATGACCGTTCTAGTTTGATACTTGCTCTGGAGGACCAGAGGTTAGAAACCCGAATAGTAAGAAATATGTTTTGCAGCATCCAATGCCTGCTGTTGTGTGGTGTTAGGTCTTGTAGTTCATCAAACTGAAAGCTGAAACCACAAGTTGAATATAATTTAGAAACTCATCCTTCAGGCAGCTTGACCTCTCCCTCCCCCCAAACATGGTGCTCTCTGGATGGCTGCTTCATTGTCCCAACATCACCTACTGCTGGAATGTCCCCAGATGACCTATAAGGGGCATATGTGATCTCCAGTTAGGCAGGGACGATGGAGCAGCCTAGGGAATAGCAGAATCTGCTCACCTTAACGGCCACTGTTTGTAATACCTGCTGCTTATTTTAGCTGGATAAACCCCAAAAGCAGCCAGTCAGTCTAAGTTTAAGTCCGTAATCTCACTTGCCTTGGAGCTCCCCCTTCAGCTCCACCAATAGCTAGAAGACCCCTATATAGTTATCTCCTGCTAGAGGTTAGCATCCTGTCGCTCCTATAAACAAGCATTTTTTTAAAAAAAATTTAAAATCTTAACTTTATATTCTCTATTAATGAGTCAGACTGCAATTTTATACAGTTCTATATTCCTTGCACATCTGCATACTACTGTCAGGCTCAGAGTCAAGTGATCCAGAATTGACTGAGCGCTGGACAGTTTTTGACCAGGGCTGACTAACTGCCATGGCTGCCTTGCTTGCCTAATGACTGGTTTATTTATTTATTTTTGTAAGTTTTTTTGACAACTCCTAGCTGTTGCTGCATTCACATTGATCAATATCTTGCAGGTTGGATTTTGTTTTTGCTATGCTCACTAGTAGTGGAGGGATACGGAAATATCACTTGTACAATTTCTCCAAATGTCTAACAACCTTTTACTTTAAAATGGGTTGTTGTAATTAAAGTGGTTATCGTGTCTGGTGTTCCCTGGGTACATCCTTCCATTCAGTGTAATTTTTTTTTTTTTTACATTTTAATGCTAAACAAGAGTCCCTAGCAACTCATCCTGTGTGCTGCTTGGGCTAATGAGAAAACATTGAGCAGCATTGGCTGCTCAGCTGATCACATTCAGTCTATCACAGTGTCCATTGCTGATATGTATAAGCAAAAAGAAAGACTAATCTCCGCATTAGCCTTACCTCTAGTAGGGGCAAGAGTGAGAGTGGCCAAAGACCTTTATTTAGTGTTAAATGACTTGAAAATGGTTTAACACTTAATGGAGTGCCAGTGCCAGAGAACTTCAAGCCCTATTACCAATTCAATGAGATGAAAAGGTTATGGTGACTACAGTGTCCATTTAAACTGCATTGTTTATCCTCAACTGAGTACATTTACAGTACTGTTGCTATGTGTTTTGCCAATTTGAGTAACCTCTCAGTAACCAATGCTTTTCTGAAATCCCAAGCATTTGTGACAGAGGCCTTTATGTATTAATTCTCCTATACTTTTAACACTTTTTTTTAGGAACATCCTCAAACATCTGGTACGACTTTTTCGATACCTTATAAGCTTTATATAACACACCAATAACTATGAATAATATATTCAAATAAAGGAAAAAAAATTATTTTTTTTTAACAATTTCTACACAACTAGTGAAACTATAGAAAAATAACTATTTATAGATTCACACAAATCTCACAGAGGTGCATAGCTAGTAGAGTCGCAACATGGTGGCACACCACGCTACTCTGCAGTTACAGATAATGGACCTTCCTTGCAGTGTTTGATCCTGTGTGACATTCTGGGCCTGCTTTTCCTCATGGATCATACCAACTGCCTTTCTAATCAGGCAAGTCAACCGCGGTGGCAACAATGACTGTCTCTTTCTGGGTCGGATACCAAGAAGAGGTTACCCCCTGAGCATAGTACACACATCTGGAAGAATTAAATTCATAATGGACTCAGGATCCTGACCTGGTCCAAACGGATACTGGGGTTAGTGGACATTGTGCTATGGTTCTCCCGGAGCATGAGGCGAGATGAGGAGAATTAGGGATCATTACGGAACTCGTTCAGCAGGACCGTGCTTTGTGGTTTGTCACAAAGGTTTTTAACAGCCGGGGCATAGTCTAACTCTGAGCAAAGAACCGACCTGGCTGTTAAAATGCCTAGCTTGGGGCACATTGTGTCTGTTACAGTCTGCCATTATTTGCACCAATGCTGACTTTCTTTTAAATGTCTTAATGCATTGTTGAGGGCAGTTAGTGGGTATTTGCTTGGCTGGGGGTATTTGCTGGTGGTCGATGGTTCTCTTACTCTACTATTTACTAGTTATACAGCTAAATACATTATATTCTTGCTTATAAGCTTTGATACTTTTAGCTATACGCTTTGCATCTTTTTTTTCTTTAATTATAAAATAAGGACACCTAGACTCATGTAAGACAAATGTGAATCTTTAGGAAGATAGGCATGGTGTACCAAAATTTCACCAGACTTTATCACCTTCTATTTGTATGATCATGTACCTACTTTGCGTTTGTGCTCTGATGTTTTCCGTATCAATGCCTCATAAGCAGGGCCCTCAACCCCCTCTGTTCCTGTACGTCAGTGGTCTGATCTCAATTATGTGTCTGTTAGTCCACCCATTGTACAGCGCTACAGAATTTGTTGGCGCTATATAAATAATAAAATAATAATAATAATAAAAACAGTGACTGACAAAAATAAATAAAATAGGGAAAAAGTATAGGTTGAAACACTTAAGTAGCTTTTTTATATTATTGAATAAAGGTACAATTATTTTCTTTCTGAAATTCCGCGAAAAATTGATCTCTCAGCACAACACTGAGAAAGTCAGAAACAAACCTATTAACTTTAGCGCATCACAATGACTTAAAGGACCACTCTAGGCACCCAGACCACTTCAGCTTAATGAAGTGGTCTGGGTGCCAGGTCCTTCTAAGGCAGTGATGGCGAACCTTTTTGAGCCCGAGAGCCCAAACCGCAATACATGCCAACATTTTTTCTCCTTAAAGTGCCAACACGGCAATTAAACCCAAATACTGAGGTTTAAGTTTAGAAAAAAACAACTCGTACTGTTGTCCGAACTAATAACTTTTGTTTTAAAAGAACACAGAGAGTTCAATGATACAAATTTTAAATAATGATATAAATAGATAAAATTAAGCTTATATTTATTAGTATCTCCAACAAATGCAATACATACACAGACAAACTGCTGAATACATACACACAGTCTGCTGAGTACACACACACACACAAGACTGCTGAATACACATACAGACAGACTGCTGCGTACACACACACACAGACTGCTGCGTACACACACACACAAACACAGACTGCTGAGTACACACACACACACAGACTGCTGCGTACACACACACAAACACAGACTGCTGAGTACACACACACACAGACTGCTGAGTACACACACACACACACACACACACTGCTGAGTACACACACACACAGACTGCTGAGTACACACACACACAGACTGCTGAGTACACGCAAACACAGACAGACAGCTGAATACACGCAAACACAGACAGACTGCTGAATACACGCACACACACACAGACTGCTGAATACAGAGACTGATGAATACACATACAGACAGACTGCTGCGTACACACACACACACACACACACA